CTTGTCTTTCATACCTATACACCATTCTTGTGTGTGTTCAATACAAAAAATATTTGAACAAAAAAATGTATACTTTTGAATCATCTGTCCATAGATTCTTCCAAGGGGCTTGATGATCATCCAGGTGATTCCTGGTGCTTTTTGGCAAACTTGAGTCAACTTTTTGGACGACATGGGTCCCATTATGCCTGGCAAAAACCAAAACTGTAATTAGGCCTTCCCAGTGTCTGTTGGAAAGAAGACTGAACCATGTTTTCCTCCAAGATTTTGCCTGTGCTTAGCTCCATTCCGTTTATTTTTTATCCTGAAAAACTCCCCAGTCCTAAACGATTACAAGCATACCCATCACATGATTCAGCCACCACTATGCTTGAAAATATGGAGAGTGGTACTCAGTAATGTGTTGTATTGGATTTGCCCCAAACATAACACTTTGTATTCAGGACAAAAAGTGAATTGCTTTGTCACATTTTTTGCAGTATTACTTTAGTGCCTTGTTGCAAACAGTTTTGGAATACTTTTATTCTGTACAGGCTTCCATCTTTTCACTCTGTCAATTAGGTTAGTATTGCGGAGTAACTACAATGTTGTTGCTCCAACCTCAGTTTTCTGCTATCACAGCTATTAAACTCTGTAACTGTTGTCAAATCACCATTGGCCTCATGGTGAAATCCCTGAGCGGTTTCCTTCCTCTCCGGCAACCGAGATAGGAAGGACACCTGTATCTTTGTAGTGACTGGGTGTATTGATACACCATCCAAAGTGTAATTATACTGAAGAAAAATATAAATGCAACATGCAAAGTGTTTGTCCCATGTTTCATGAACTGAAATAAAAGATCCCATACATTTTCCATACGCACAAAAAGCTTATATCTCTAAAGGTTTGTGCACAAATTTCTGCACAAACTGTCAGAAACCGTCTCAGGGAAACTCATCTTCGTGCTCATCATCCTCACCAGGGTCTTGACCTGACTACATTTTGGCGTCGTAACCGACTTCAGTGGGCAAATGCTCACCTTCGATGGCCACTGGCACGCTGGAGCAGTGTGCTCTTCACGGATGAATGCCGGTTTTAAGTGTACCGGGCAGGTGGCAGACAGTGTGTATGGCGTCGTGTGGGTGAGCGGTTTGCTGATGTCAATGTTGTGAACAGAGTGCCCCATGGTGGCGGTGGGGTTATGGTATGGGCAGGCATAAGCTATGGACAACGAACACAATTGCATTTTATCGATGGCAATTTGAATGCACAGAGATACCGTGACAAGATCCTGAGGCCCATTGTCATGCCATTCATCCGCCGCCATCACCTCATGTTTCAGCATAATGTTGCAAGGATCTGTACAGAATTCCTGGAAGCTGAAAATGGCCCAGTTCTTCCATTGCCTGCATACTCACCAGACATATCACCCATTGAGCATGTTTGGGATGCTCTGGCTTGACATGTACGACAGCGAGTTCCAGTTCCCGACAATATCCAGCAACTTCACACAGCCATTGAAGAGGAGTGGGACAACATTCCACAGGCCACAATCAACAGCCTGATCAACTCTATGTGAAGGAGATGTCGCGCTGCATGAAGCAAATTATGGTCACACCAGATACTGACTGGTTTTCTGATCCACGCCCCTGCCTTTTTTTTAAGGTATTCGGAAATTATCAGACCCCTTCACTTTTTCCACATTTCGTTACGCTACAGCCTTATTCTAAAATGGATTAAATAAAACATTTATCAATCTACACACAATACCCCATAGTGACAAAACAAAAACAGGTTTTTAGAAATGTTTGCAAATTTATAAAATAAAAATAAAGATACCTTATTTACATAAATATTCAGACCCTTTGCTATGAGACTCGAAATTGAGCTCAGGTGCATCCTGTTTACATTGATCATCCTTTAGATGTTTCTACAACTTGATTGGAGTCCACCTGTGGTAAATTCAATTGATTGATTGGACATGATTTGGAAAGGCACACACCTGTCTATATAAGTGGTCCTCTGTAGCTCAGCTGGTGGAAAAATATACCTTATTTACAGAAGTATTGAGACCCTTTGCTATGAGATTTGAAATTGAGCTCAGGTGCATCCTGCTTCCATTGATCGTCCTTGAGATGTTTGATTTGGAAAGGCATACACCTGTTTATATAAGGTCCCACAGTTGACAGTGCATGTCAGAGCAAAAACCAGGTCATGAGGCTGAAGGAATTGTCCGTAGAGCGCTGAGACAGGATTGTGTCGAGGCACAGATCTGGGGAAGGGTACCAAAAAATGTCTGAAGCATTGAAGGTCTCCAAGAACACAGTAGCCTCCATCATTCTTAAATGGATGAAGTTTGGAACCACCAAGACTCTTCCTAGAGCTGGCCGCCCGGCCAAACTGAGCAATCGGGGGAGAAGGGCCTTGGTCAGGGAGGTGACCAAGAACCCGATGGTCACTCTGACAGAGCTCCAGAGTTCCTCTGTGGAGATGGGAGAACCTTCCAGAAGGACAACCATCTCTGCAGCACTCCACCAATGAGGCCTTTATGGTAGAGTGGCTAGACGGAAGCCACTCCTCAGTAAAAGGCACATGACAGCCCGATTGGAGTTTGCCAACAGGCACCTAAAGGTCTCTCAGACCATGAGAAACAAGATTCTCTGGTCTGATGAAACGAAGACTGAACTCTTTGGCCTGAATGCCAAGCGTCACGTCTGGAGGAAACCTGGCACCATCCCTACGGTGAAGCATGGTGGTGGCAACATCATGTTGTTTTTCAGCGGCATGGACTGAGATACTAGTCAGGATCGAGGGAAAGATGAACGGAGAAAAGTACAGAGAAATCCTTGATGAAAAGCGCTCAGGACCTCAGGTTCACCTTCCAACAGGACAACGACCCTAAGCACACAGCCAAGACAATGCAGGAGTGGCTTCGGCACAAGTCTCTGAATGTCCTTGAGTGGCCCAGCCAGAGCCCGTTCTTGAACCCAATCGAACATCTCTGGAGAGACCTGGAAATAGCTGTGCAGCGACACTTCCCATCCAACTTGACAGTGCTTGAGAGGATCTGCAGAGAAGAATGGGAGAAACTCCCCAAATACAGGTGTGCCAAGCTTGTAGCGTCATACCTAAGAAGACTCGAGGCTGTAATCGCTGCCAAAGGTGCTTCAACAAAGTACTGAGGAAAGGGTCTGAATACTTATGTAAATGTGATATACGTTTTTTATTTCTAATACATTTGCAAACATTTCTAAAAACCTGTTTTTGCTTTGTCATTATGGGGTATTGTGTGTAGATTGATGATGGAGAAAAAAAACAATTTAAACAATTTTAGAATAAGGCTGTAACTTAACAAAATGTGGAAAAAGGTCAAGGGGTCTGAATACTTTCCAAATGCATATCTATATTCCCAGTCATGTGAAATCCATAGCTTATGGCCTAATTTATTTATTTCAATTGATTGATTTCCTTATATGAACTGCAACTCAGTAAAACGTTTGAAAATCTTGCATGTTGCCTTTATATTTTTGTTCAGTGTAATAACTTCACCATGCTGAAAGGGATATTCAATGTCTGCTTTTACCCATCTATCAATAGGTGCCCTTGTAAATCCTCCCTGGTCATTGTGGTTGAATCTGTGATTGAAAGTCACTGCTCGACTGAGGGACCTTACAGATAATTGTATGTGTGGGGTACAGAGATGAGGTAGTCATTAAAAAATCTAATTAAACACTTATTGCATACAAAGTGAGTCCATGCAACTTATTAAGTGACTTGTTAAGCACATTTTTACTCTTTCACTTATTTAGGTTTGCCATAACAAAGGGGTGACTAAAGACATTTCAGCTTTTCATTAATTTATAAAAGAAAAACCATAATTCCACTTATGGGGTATTGTGACATTCTGGCGTATTGTGTGTAGTTCAGTGACGAAAAATCTCAGTTTAATCCATTTTAAATTCAGGCTGTAACACAACAAAATGTGGATAAAGTAAAGGGGTGTGAAGACTTTCTGAAGGCACTGTACATACAGTATTTACAGGAGCTCTTTGCTTAGGCTACTAGGGCGCCATGGCAACTACTTCTACCAACTACTACATGGCTCTGATGTTAACTGATGTGGCTCATTGAATCAACAAATCACAGCACATATTGATGGGTAGGGTACACCTCCTGCTTTGCACCTCGCGTTGGCCGCCAGTCCACACATTATGCCATTGTTGACTTGAATGGGGACTCCCGTTCTATTCATTCTATTTCTATGGCAGCATATGCAGTCAGGAGCGGAGGAGAGGATCAAATGTGTGTTTGAATGAAGCGATATGTTACATACAATTTATTATAACATGTATACAAAGCTTTATATGGATGCTTGGCTACTACTTACATCAATAGTAGTAGTAGTAGTATGTCACATGAATATGAGACGCATCAGCGACTGTTTCCAACCATAGCGATGGGAAGTGGCACGCCTCCTAAATGCTTTGTGGCAGGTGTGCCCTCTATCCAGCTCTATGATTCCAACCTTGTAGTGCATGATGATAGGTTGGTGGGAAGGGGCAGAGGTGGGACAATAAGAGGCCCTAACAAGGGTTGGAAATCTTACAAAGGGTAAAGGCGGGTTTTTGCTCCAGCCAACAGTAACACAAGATTCTACAAATTAAACCCATGACTGAAGACTAGATGATCAGTAGAATCAGATACTGTATTTTACCGTTGTCTGCACCCACCGTCCATCACAGGGAGATAGATACCACTGGAGTTTGAATCAAGGCGACCAACTAGCCAAACAACAGGGTGGAGTGAAACTAATTCCTCATTAGAGCACACCGTAGCAAAACTATTCGCGACGGATGGCAAAAACTAGCGTTTTTAATTGGACAAGTTCCGATAACACAATTCGGTCCATTTTCTTCCGGTTTGTGCCTAGTGAACACGACCCAGACGTGGTGCTGCGGCTAGCTGGCTGTCCTTCCAGACCTCCATCCATCATTGGTGTCAGAAGAAGACTCTGTGGACCATCACCAGGTCATGTCGACGGTCATCTCCGACAGACACTTGGCCAGGTGGCTGTCACAGTCCATCTGAGTGAACCTGGAGATATGGATGGACAGCGTTTCAGTCATTTGTCAATACAGGTGGTTCAAATCTCTTTCTACAGGAGAAATCCTTCACAAGAAGGAAGCAATCAAATATTTCTTACTAAAAAAAAGAGTAACAATTCGAGGCCTACTTTAAAACGGCAGTCTATAATCACAGGAATCTGTTTAGTTTGGGAAATGCCTTCCCTAACCGCCATGTATTACCTTCAGTGATCACAACTTTCATCGCACGTATTGTATCGAAATGATGCTCAAGCTCAACGCAACTGCCGACTGCACTGAAAGTGCACTGAAACTGAATGGAGCTTCAGTGGTTTCAGCAGTAGCCTTGGATGGCAGCTTATTAACTTCAGACTGCTACTGCTCTCCTGCTGGGCTCCTCGCACAGTTTTGGTCTCATGTACTTTTTACTCGTTACTGTTTTAAAGGCCTGCTGAGATTTACGCTCTCTCGCTCCCTCTCTCTCGCTCATTCTCCCTCTCGATCACTCTTTCTGTATCTCTCTCTGCATCTCTCTCTCTACGTCATTCTGCTGGAGGGTAATGCGCGATCAGAGGGTCCTCTTCAGGAGAGAGAGAGAGAGAGAGACTGAGAAAGAGAAGAAACTAGAGCAGAGTAATTTTGCTCCAAATAATGTACTTTCTAAGAACCCTGCCACCCGTATCCTCCTGCATCCATGCACACTAAACACGCACACGATGGATGTATGCCGCTCCCTCTCTCTTCCCCCTTCTAGGTCACTCTCCTCTGCCTTCTTCCTTTTATCTCTCCAGACAGAGGAAGCCATTGTTCCTGCTAGTCCAGCCAAGAGAGAGAGAGAGAGATAGTTGGGAGGGAGTACAGCGGGGTTGTGTGGCCGGGCCAAGGTACACAGAGCTGGCTAGGGGAGCAGACCACGATGCGGGGCCAGACCCAGGCCAACACAAAGGCCGGCCTGTTCAGAAAGAGAGTAAAACGAGCCGAGAGAGAGAGACCGAAAGAAAGTACAACGAGAGGGGAGAGAGCGAGAGGGATCAAGCTCTCGCACCACTGGCCCTGAGCCCTGCTTTTTAGCCCTGTCATTCACTCCTCCTCTACCTCACTTAAAACGGCCTTCGTTTTTGACCCATTTCAATGAATGATTTACTGTGTACTTTTTTTTTTTTTCAACCTACGTCCCTTCCACTGTTTACATGCAAACCCAGCATGGTCCACTATGCAATCTACGATGTAAAGATCTACATTTTAAAATGCAGTCTAGGATGTATATCCTAGATCTACACTACCGGTCAAAAGTTTTAGAACACTTACTCATTCAAGGGTTTTTCTTTATTTATTTTTATTTTCTACATTGTAGAATAATAGTGAAGACATCAACACTATTAAATAACACATATGGAATCATATAGTAACCAAAAAAGTGTTAAACAAATCATAATATATTTTACATTTGAAATTCTTCAAATATATCACTTTTTTGGTTACTACATGATTCCATATGTGTTATTTCATAGTCTTCACTATTATTGTACAATGTAGAAAATAGTAACAAATAAAGAAAAACCCTTGAATGAGTAGGTGTTCTAAAACTTTTGACCGGTAGTGTACATTTTGAAATGCCCTGCATATGTGAAAGTATTGAATCCATACAGTCAATGGTTCTCCCTTGGATTTTTAGAGCGACTTACAGTTAGTGAGTGCATACATTTTCATACTGGCCCCCCGTGGGAAACGAACCCACAACCCTGGCGTTGCAAGCGCCATGCTCTACCAACTGAGCTACAGGGGGATTTGTCAGACACCAATGTTTTACCTCTGCAGAAGAGCAGCCACCTACCATTCAATTTGAGTGCGTAGGAAGGAAAGTAGTATAAGGCAGCAGACATATGGGAGAGAGAAAGAGAGAGAGCAGATGAGTGTGCTGAATACAGAGAGGTGAAGAGGCAGGCAGCCCTAACTTACCCAGCTGGAAACGGCACCAGGCACATGGGGCAGCTCTGCATTGCCCATCCTCCTCCTCCTTTGCCAGCATCCCCATCAGCTCTGCCCTTCCTAGACACCCCCTCCTCCCTTTTCTCCCCCTCCTCCTCCATGGGAGCAGCAGTGCAGCTGTCAGAGGTAGAGGAAGAGGCTTCCCCCCGGTTTGCAGGTAGCTGCAGCCTCTTCATCCCCCTCTTCTCTCCCTCCTCTCCTACTCCTCCTCCACCCTTTCTGGCTTCTGGTGGTAATGATGATCCTCCGTTCCCTGCTCTGATGATGGAGGGCTGAGGAATAGAGGGGTGACTCTCCTTCTCTCCTCCTGGTCGCCTGGCTGTAGGGTGGGGTCTGGCCGCTCCCGTGTTTTGCCCTCCTTCCCCTCGTTTTGTGTCCTTTCTGGATGACACCATGCTATGCCCCCCTCCACTCCATGGGCCTCCCCTTCCGTAGCTAGCAGGCACTCTGGCTCCCAGACTTGGTGGTCTGGGGTGGCCAGCACCACTACTACTAGTCCCCTCTCCGGGCCCCTCTTGACAGGGAGCAGACTTCAAAGGAGGGCCACTGATGGTGGATGTTGTCTGCCTAGTCTGTACTGGGACCGGGAGGAGAGTATTTTCCAGACCAGGAGAAGGATTGAGAGGAGAGTCTGTGGTGGAACAGTGTGGGGCCATGGGAGGAGGAGAGGGAGAGGAGGGAAAGGGAGTCATGTCCTCACTGAGGCTACACCATCTCCATTCACTCTGCTGGTCTACAGTAGAGCTCTGAAACACACACACACAGAGACAGAGACAGAGACAGAGACAGAGACAGAGACAGAGAGAGAGAGAGAGAGAGAGAGAGAGAGAGAGAGAGAGAGAGAGAGAGAGAGAAGGGGGAGTGTGTTTGACAGAAAGAAAGGAGAGAGAGGCAGAAAGAGAGGTTGAGCGAAATGATAGGGATTTAAGAGAGAACAATAGAAAAGGAGAGAGAATGGGAAGGAGAGAGCCAGAGAGCGAGGGGCATGCTTAGAGTAACTTTGTCCCCATCAAGCAGGGCCCTTGAGATCCTCTCAAATGTGACTAAGTCTAATGTGTCCAAATACGTAATAAGGAGGGACTGGGAGTGTTAAAAGAAAAAGAGACGCTAGCATTGGAGTTGCTGTCCCGGCGGCACCTCACACATCATTTCATCCAGTCTCTCGTCTGGGCCATATGTCTGTCACATAGCGGCTTAACTTACTCCTTTAGCTGGTAGCTAGCAGTGCTTTTCTAAGAGAAGCCCACTGGAGTCAATTATTCAGCGAATGCGAGATTGCATCAGCTACCTGTCAAAGTGATTGGTTCATGTGGAGTGCGTGGCCCAGAACTGCCACTGTCTGACCGGAGCTTTGAGACCCAGCGCCAGCCATCCGGCAGGCTATACCCGTCTGGGAGGTCAACAGTGGCCGCCATTTTAGTCAGCTCAGCAGTACTCAACGACACATTGGTTTCTTCCTCCACTAGTTAGTGCTGAGTCTGTTCAAAAACAGCTATTGTATGTGAGAGAAATTTCAATTTTCTGAGACATTGTCTGTTTAGTCCTGCATGGTACAAGGTGGAATTGACACAAAGGTGGTGGCTGAGGTGTGAGAAATCATCACTAACCAGGTTTTCATCCAACCTTTTTATTTGAGTAAAGTATATGTTACGACAGGCCTGATAGAAACCTGTCGGTTAACTTCCCAAATGTCGACAAAACAAGGTGGGATATTTTTGTGTCTAAAATGTATTATGCGAGAAATGGCGGTGAAAATGCATTTATGCACAAATATTGATAGAATAACAATCATATCGACGTAGCCTAAACTTGGAGTCACAATGATATGATGCGTGGTCCTCCCACTATGACTAGGGAAAGCATGCAGTTTTGCCTCGTTCACGTGCTATCTGAGTTATCGGAAGCTCCTAGTTCCCAGTGGGAAATTTCACTTGAATGCCCCCCCAAGTTGAAAATACACGTGGTAAACTCTGTGAAAATGTTGTTACTTGATTTGCCGAGTTGTGACGTTTCACCGCTGAAGTTTTACCTTCACAACCAAGAGATGACAACAAGTCTGTTTTTGACAATTACAACCATCAATATGGATAATGTAGCTAGTCTGACCATATTGTCAATGTTAAGCAAGCTGATAACTTTATTATTAGCAATGTTAGCAAGCTTATCAGGCTAGCTAAAATCTTATCGGTTGAAGAATTGTTCCGACTTCAAAAGCACTTGAACACAATCATGGTCAGATTTACGACTTCCCACTTCCCATGAGCACATGAAGCCAGCATAAATTAGGCTACATATGAAATAAGTTATGATGAACTTCACAGGGTGGTGAAACTGCACAGTGATGAGCTTGATGCTCTTTTCCAATAAATATTGAGTGTGGCTTATTCTGGTGACATGAAGATGATGCTTGGCTGCCGTTTGACAAATAAAAATAGTCTCGCTCTTATCCATAATCATCTCATAATGTAGACTAGACAACCCGCACTGTATCTGCCAGTTGTTGGCTGGAGCGCAGGTGCCAAGACCAGAGTAGGCACATATGCTATTTAACTCAACCGTTTTTGTGACAAAACTATCGGCACATTTGAAAATGAAATGGAAACACATTTTTATTCTAAGCTAAAAAGTACATTTGATGTGCACTACATCGTCAAGCACTGCTTTTTATCCACAACAAGTCAGTTTGGTGGAAACACAACTGGTGGGAAAATGCACCATTTCTTTATGCAGATTTTTTTATATTTTTGCATGAAAATCTGTAGCCAATTGGATGTAAACTTAGCTACTTATAGTGGGATTGCTAACTTTGTAAATAAAAGCTTTTGTTCAAGCCATACAACAACGTGCCACATTCAATTAATAAAGGTCTCGATTTAAGGCGATGACCAGTTGATTAGTACAATCTGAACAAAGTCTTGCACCTACACAGCTATTGAGATGCATCCACACTCCTGAGCTGGCTAACTCACCAGTGTGGAGGCTGTTGGAAGGTCAGGGACTGGGTCCCAGGGGTGAGCTTCCAGACAGGGAAGAGCAGAACTCAGAGTCAGGGCCCAGAGGCTCTCAATTGCAGCCAGGTCACCTCTGGACCACCACGCCTCTGTAGGGACCACAGGTCTACAGAACACAGCAAAATAATAGAGCACATAAGTATGATTAGTAAAGAGAACATGAGCAATTATGTTTCTTAATTTAATATGTACTTGTCTATGAGAACCAACCACTATCTATTTGAAATGAAGACAATGCATTGCAATCAAGGAAGACAGAGATGCATTATCTCCTTGTCACCGCAGCACAGAGTAATTCTAGATGCTAATGTTCAATCTGGGTATCAGTTATACATATCCTGTATTGCAATCAAAACAAAAAAGAGTAAGTCATGTGATGGGGGGAGCTAGATAGATGGCTAACGTTACTGCACTTCGACTGCTTGCTTACCTCGTTGAACTCAAGCTTTCAATCGAAGCATTGGAACTTTCGTTGTTCTTTATCAGCGTGTTCCTGAAAAATATATCAGTTCGGGGCTCCTCGATAGACAATTTCTTTCTTTTTAGTTTTGACTTGGGGCATTTCTCAGCCATAGCAATGATCTATCTCTCTAGTCTGCCCCAGTTCGATTTTTCGCGGCATGGACAGAACAGCACAGACTTCCGTGTTTGTGTGATGACGTCAGTGCGCAGGCAAACACGTCAACTGAAGAACGCAAGTAGGTCTAGGACACTAGATAAAAAGTTGCAGATTCAAAGTTACTTGAAACATTGTATCCATCCAGTGAACTCGATTGTTCAAATGTTAATTTATTGAGAAATTGCACTACGCTATTTCCCAGCAAAGCTTGTTCCTCAACACAAATAAAGTGAGCCAATTTGCTTTCTAGAATACTGACCAACATATTGCATTCACAATATCTGCCACTGGGAAATGTACATATATAATATTTATATCAGCTCCAATTAGTTACAGTTTATTAACTTTCTGCAATTGTATAGTTCATATACTTATCTCGATGTCATTCCTAGGTTTATAAAAGAGGGTGTTGTCATTCTCATTTATAGTTATTTGTACAATAACAGTAAGTAAGTACGAGAAAGGATCATTTTTACTTTACAATGATATACAGGAAAAAGCAATATGATTTTTATTCCTCCAGACTGTAGTCAGCAGTATAGGTCAGTGAGGGTCAGTGCAAGGGTTGTGTTATGCAATGGCCACTGTAGCCTGTTATCATACTGTCATCCTAGAACACAGAACTAGGTGGTGGAAATTTGAAGTAATATAATGGTGGGGCTTTCTCAGCTAAGCTTTCGGAAAAAAGCGAGGACCAACAGAAAGAACGGCTATGGGGGTTATATAATGGAAAAGACAAGGAGAAGAGCTTAAAGGACAGAAGAAAAAGAAAAGAGAGAGGAGGGCAATAGGGAAAAATAACACTATGGGAAAACCTGCCACTTTGAAAATAGGTGAGGCCAATTTTGAAACAGTGCCCCAGAAGATGAGAATTCCAGAGGGCTAGATTGCTGACATGGGTAGTCCTTTACCGCAGAGGGAAAAGCACAAAAGCAGACCCAGTGTGGATGCCTGCCTGGTGTTACACTGGGAAAAGCGACCAGGCGCCTGGAAAGAAAGGTTATGTCATTTAGGAGTTGTGATCCTGTTGTGTGCCATCGCCATGGATACAGGAAGGAAGAAATAAAAATAGTAGAACCAACTGACCATCCAGGCTCCCAAAAGCAGGCTCACCCAAAAGAACAGAGAGGAGCCGAAGCGAGAGAGAGAGAGGAGGGGGGAACTCGAAAGAGAGGAGAAGGACTTGATGTGTTATGAATCATTGAAAAGAGGAAAGATGTTTGCCGTTCACTCTCTTTCTCTCTCACCTGTCTCTCAGGCTTGGCCTTGAGTGGGTCAGCAGCTGTAAAATATATATATATATATATATATATATATACAGTGAGGGAAAAAAGTATTTGTTATGAATTTATTTGCATTTTAATGAGGGAAATAAGTATTTGACCCCTCTGCAAAACATGACTTATTACTTGGTGTCAAAACTCTTGTTGGTAATCACAGAGGTCAGACGTTTCTTGTAGTTGGCCACCAGGTTTGCACACATCTCAGGAGGGATTTTGTCCCACTCCTCTTTGCAGATCTTCTCCAAGTCATTAAGGTTTCGAGGCTGACGTTTGGCAACTCGAACCTTCAGCTCCCTCCACAGATTTTCTATGGGATTAAGGTCTGGAGACTGGTTAGGACACTCCAGGACCTTAATGTGCTTCTTCTTGAGCCACTCCTTTGTTGCCTTGGCCATGTGTTTTGGGTCATTGTCATGCTGGAATACCCATCCACGACCCATTTTCAATGCCCTGGCTGAGGGAAGGAGGTTTTCACCCAAGATTTGACACTACATGGCCCTGTCCATCGTCCCTTTGATGCGGTGAAGTTGTCCTGTCCCCTTAGCAGAAAAACACCCCCAAAGCATAATGTTTCCACCTGCATGTTTGACGGTGGGGATGGTGTTTTTGGGGTCATAGGCAGCATTCCTCCTCCTCCAAACACGGCGAGTTGAGGGCAGAGAACTCAATTTTGGTCTCATCTGACCACAACACTTTCACCCAGTTCTCCTCTGAATCATTCAGATGTTCATTGGCAAACTTCAGACGGGCATGTATATGTGCTTTCTTGAGCAGGGCGCTGTAGGATTTCAGTCGTTCAAGGCATAGTGTGTTACCAATTGTTTTCTTGGTGACTATGGTCCCAGCTGCCTTGAGATCATTGACAAGATCTCCCGTGCAGTTCTGGGTTGATTCCTCACCGTTCTCATGATCATTGCAACTCCATGAGGTGAGATCTTGCATGGAGCCCCAGGCCGAGGGAGATTGACAATTCTTTTGTGTTTCTTCCGTTTGCGAATAATCGCACCAACTGTTGTCACCTTCTCACCAAGCTGCTTGGCGATGGTCTTGTAGCCCATTCCAGCCTTGTTTAGGTCTACAATCTTGTCCCTGACATCCTTGGAGAGCTCTTTGGTCTTGGCCATGGTGGAGAGTTTGGAATCTGATTGATTGATTGCTTCTGTGGACAGGTGTCTTTTATACCGGTAACAAGCTGAGATTAGGAGTACTCCCTTTAAGAGTGTGCTCCTAATCTCAGCTCGTTACCGGTATAAAAGACACCTGGGAGCCAGAAATCTTTCTGATTGAGAGGGAGTCAAATACTTATTTCCCTCATTAAAATGCAAATCAATTTATAACATTTTTGACATGCGTTTTTCTGGATTTTGTTGTTGTTATTCTGTCTCTCACTGTTCAAATAAACCTACCATTAAAATTATAGACTGATCATTTCTTTGTCAGTGGGCAAACGTACAAAATCAGCAGTGGATCAAATACTTTTATCCCTCACTGTATATATACAGTACCAGTCAAAAGTTTGGACACACCTACTCATTCTAGGGTTTTTATTTTTTTAAACTATTTTCTACATTGTAGAATAATAGTGAAGACATCAAAACTATGAAATAACACACATGGAATCATGTAGTAACCAAAAAAAGTGTTAAACAAATCAAAATATATTTTATATTTGAGATTCTTCATATAGCCACCCTTTGCCTTGATGACAGCTTTGCACACTCTTGGCATTCTCTTATTTTAGAGAAATACGCTTTTTGTGCATATGGAACATTTCTGGATATGTTATTACAGCTCATGAAACATGGGACATTGTACATGATGTGTTTATATTTTTGTTCAGTATATATATATATATATAAATATGTGTGTGTGTGTATTTAAAAATATATATATATACAGTGCATTCGGAAAGTATTCAGACCCCTTGACTTTTTCCACATTTCGTTATGTTAGAACCTTATTCTAAAATGTATTAAATTAATTGTTTTCCTCATCAATCTACACATAATACCCCATGGGGCGGCAGGAAGCTTAGTGGTTAAGGCCGTTGTGCCAGTAACCGAAAGGTCGCTGGTTCTAATCCCGAGCCGACTAGGTGAAAAATCTGTCGATGTGCCCTTGAGCAAGGCACTCAACCCTAATTGCTCCTGTAAGTTGCTCTGGATAAGAGCGTCTGCTAAATGACTAAAATGTAAAATAAAATGTAAAATAATGACAAAGCGAAAACAGGTTTTTAGAAATGTTTGCAAATGTATACAAACATTAAAACAGAAAAATATACCTTTTTTACATAAGTATTGAGACCCTTTGCTATGAGATTTGAAATTGAGCTCAGGTGCATCCTGCTTCCATTGATCGTCCTTGAGATGTTTGATTTGGAAAGGCATACACCTGTTTATATAAGGTCCCACAGTTGACAGTGCATGTCAGAGCAAAACCCAAGCCATGAGGTCGAAGGAATTGCCCATAGAGCTCCGAGACAGGATTGTGTCGAGGCACAGATCTGGGGAACGGTACCAAAACATTTCTGCAGCATTGAAGGTCCCCAAGAACACAGTAGCCTCCATCATTCTTAAATGGATGAAGTTTGGAACCACCAAGACTCTTCGTAGAGCTGGCCGCCCGGCCAAACTGAGCAATTGGGGGAGAAGGGCCTTGATCAGGGAGGTGACCAAGAACCCTATGGTCACTCTGACAGAGCTCCAGAGTTCCTCTGTGGAGATGAGAGAACCTTCCAGAAGGACAACCATCTCTGCAGCACTCCACCAATCAGGCCTTTATGGTAGAGTGGCCAGACGGAAGCCACTCCTCAGTAAAAAGGCACATGACAGCCCGCTTGGAGTTTGTCAAAAGGCACCTAAAGGACTCTCAGACCATAAGAAACAAGATTATCTGGCCTAATGAAACCAAGATTGAACTCTTTGGCCTGAATGCCAATCGTCGTGTCTGGAGGATACCTGGCACCATCCCTACGGTGAAGCATGGTGGTGGCAACATCATGCTGTGGGGATGTTTTTCAGCGCCAGGGACTGGGAGACTAGTCAGGATCGAGGGAAAGATGAACAGAGCAAAGTACAGAGAGATCCTTGATGAAAACCTGCTCCAGAGCGCTCAGGACGAAGATTCACCTTCCAACAGGACAATGACCCTAGGCACACAGTCAAGACAACACAGGAGTGACAAGTCTCTGAATGTCCTTGAGTGGCCCAGCCAGAGCCCGGACTTGAACCCGATCTAACATCTCCAGAGAGACCTGAAAAGGTGCTTCAACAAAGTACTGAGTAAAGGGTCTGAATACTTATATAAATGTGGATTTTCAGTTTTTCTTTTCTTTCTTTTTTTTGCAAAGATTTCTAAAAACATGTTTTTGCTTTGTCATTATGGGGTATTGTGTGTAGATTGATGAGAGGGGGGGGGAAATAATCAATTTTAGAATAAGGCTGTAACATAACAAAATGTGGAAAGGTCAAGGGGTCTGAATACTTTACGAATGTTACTATATACATACATACATACTATATATATATACATACACACTACCGGTCAAAAGTTTTAGAACACCTACTCATTCAAGGATTTTTCTTTGTTTTTACTATTTTCTACATTGTAGAATAATAGTGAAGACATCAAAACTATGAAATAACACATATGGAATCATGTAGTAACCAAAA